CACACACACACACACACACACACACACACACACACACACACACACACACAAAACTGTGAATGTTTAGTTAGCATCCGCAATAGAACGTCATTAAATTCATAATCCCCCTGGTGTTTTCAGTGATTAAGTTCATGAGACAAAATAAATCCACTGCCCACCAGCTTTGTCATCATACAATTGGATTTTTGCTGAGTATTGATTACTGCAAATTCTGGAAGTATATTATAGTATTTTCAGGATAGGATGCTGTTACAGTTTGAATTGTATCCCCCCTTCCAAATTCATAGGTTGAAGTCCTAAACCTATAATACCTCAGAATATGACCTAATTTGGAAATAGTCATTGAAGATATAATTTATTAAGATGAAGTCATGCTGGGGAAGGATGGGCCCCTAATCCGATATGACTGGTGTCCTCATAAAAAGGGGGCATTTGGACACAGAGACATGCACACAGAAAGAACATCATGTGAAGATGGAGGCAGGGACCTAGGCCGTGCACCAGAAGCCAAGGAACGCCGCTAAAGGTTGCCAGCAAACCACCAGAAGCTAATGTGAGGCATGGAACAGATTCTCCCTCACAGCCCTCAGAAGGAACCGGTCTTGACAACACATTGATCTCAGACTTCTAGCCTTCAGAACTCTGAGACAATAGATTTCTGTCGTTTAAGTCACCCCATGTGTATTTATGATAGCCCTAGCAAACCAACACGTATGCTTTTTCCTCCTTTACTCTCCTCTTGCACAATTCCCACCATGGGTAAGGAAACACCAAAACTTCCCATCACACATTTAAAAAGGAGCCCTGCTAGAACAGAAGAATCATTTCTTACAATACGTTTGTCAGGTTCTAGTTCTACCATCTAAACAAATTTCTGCCCAATTAAATGTTATTCCAGTACTCAAAAAGTTTTATACAATGAATTTAGTTGGGTTTATGAAATACCTTAAGCCAATGCTGCGGTTTTAATGAAAAAGCAAAAGTCGGACCCAGAGAAAAGAGCTGCTTATTATTCTAGGTATTTTTAGTTATTATTAAAGTAAACATATACTGAACGCTTTCTATGTTCCAGGCTCTGTGCTGAGGTCCTTGCGTGGATGATCTTACTAATACCTCACCACAAATGTGAAATACTCTTATTCTCATTTCACTAATGGGTTAGCTGGGGCCTGAAGATGTTCAGTAACTTGGTGAAAATAAATAAACGCATTAAAATGCAGAGCTAATTAGCAGAGCCTGTACTCAAATCTAGCATGTCAGGCTCCAGGGTCAGCAGACTTAACTTCCATAATATCCTGGTTTGGATTTGTATGTTGTCAAAACATAAGATTTAATCAAAACTAACACGGTGCAGCAATTGAAAATATTCAGAGTATGTCCTTTACAAAAGCGGGGCAGTTCACATTGATTTCAACTAGCATTTTGTAGAAAAATTGTAGGCAGTGCTACCATTCTCAGCTTTGAACCTCTATCCCCAAACCAAAGGACCAACTTCTGTCAGTTTTTGGTGACTCAGAGTAACTGCCATCCTCAACCTGAGAGTCTTGGGGGCTAGTGAGGAGGGACAGGAGAGTGTTATTCCAATATCTTCAACACACCCCCTCTTTAAAAGTCTCTGATATAGAGAAAAAAACTGAGCATCACTAGATTTGGGGTGGGGGAGGATGAGGGAGAAGGTGAGGGGATTAGAAAGCACAAATTGGTAATCACAAGATTGCCACGGGGATATGAAAGACAGCTGGGGAATATAATTGATAATGTTGTAAAGATTTTGTAGGGCATCAGACGGGCACTTGTCTTATTAGGGAGACCAATTCATGGACGGTGTAGATGCCTGACCACTGTGTTGTACTCCTGAAGCTGAAGCTGAATAATACTAAATGTCAACTATAATTTTATATATATATATGTATATATATATATATATATATATATTCACAGGATGTGGAGTACAGTGTAGGGAATAGAGTCAATGGAATTGTAACAGCTATATACGATTCAGAGGGGTAGTAGATTGGGGGAGGGGAATTATCACTTCGTGAGGCGTGTAAATGTCTAACTATTGTTTTGTACACCTGAAACTAATAAAATTTTTTAAAAGTCCCTAATCTAAATGACCCAGCATTCTTACTTTATAATGCTCACAGAAAAGTTTTAAAGAAGACATTGTAACTTGGGTAGCACTCTTCACTTTCTTAAAGACCTCTTCCCGAGTCATACATTGCCATCTTGACAATCACCTCCTACCCAGTCCTCACTGGCTTGAAGTAAATCCTTACACAGCAACTTGTGCTCTCCTCCGTAAGATACCTGTGACTAATACTTTCACCTGTATTTCCATATTTAACAATGGAAAGCGGGGGATATCAGAGCTTTAGAGTTTCCAGGTACTAACAATAAGTGGTCTTTCAACAGTCCCCTTAAGACCATCTGTTCTGCTAACCTAAAAACCTGCATCTGGTACCACATTGAAGTCACTCTCCCAATTGTATTAATCTAAGGGGTGTTTAAGAATTTTATGTACACTAATCATATAACTCTTTGCAGAATAAAGCACTATGTCCAAAAGAGCAGGTGTAGTTTGATTGTTTCCATGCCTAGATTCAGCATATAACCTATAAAAACTTTTATAAATCACCCCATGAGTCTTAGATAATCATGTTTCTTGGTTCAGGATGTTAGTCCTAGTCTAAAACCTTCATAAAAATTCCCTGATAATTTGTTTCAAAACTTTCAAACTCTAAACTATATTAACTAGTCATCTTTATGTCTTCATTTTGTATTAGCGTCTTCCCAAAGAAGGACAACCTCCGAGGCAAGCC